ACATTGACCGGCAGATGGAATCCGGAGGAGGCCTAGTCTGTGCGATCTTATAGGTCTCTGGGAGGTAATTGGCAGGAGGCGGTCTCTCAGTAGCCAGGTCCGATACCATGCAGGTCTTTGGGGGAATGCCACTCCATTAGGCTGGAGCATGAGCTAAAAAACAGAGTTTTGATTCCTTCTCCCCTAATTTCACTTTTGTGGGATCCTTACCCATCCGGCTGAGGACAAACACACTGGATTGGTTGGTTCTACCTGAGGGAGGTAATCCTGCAGTACCCAAGTACTAAGCCCTAAAACGCTTTATAGATTAATCATTGCACCTTGTAGTCATAAATTTATTGGAAGCCACCACAAGACTTGTGTTTTATGATAAAGAAGGTATTCTTCCCGCCCTCCCAAACCTCACCAGAGGGTTACTATTTTTCATACTTATTTTAGAAAAAAATACATGGAACAAATTAAGATGAAGAGCGGAGGTGGTGCGGTGGTTAGAGTGCAGTACTGCAGGATACTTCAGCTGACTGCTAGCTGCAGTTCAGCAGTTCAAATCTTACCAGGCTCAAGGTTGACTCAGCCTTCCATCCTTCCAAGATGGGTAAAATGAAGAGCCAGATTGTTGTGGGCAATAGGCTGACTCTGTAAACCTCTTAGAGAGGGCTGTGAAAACACTATGAAGCGGTATATAAGTGCTATTGCTATTATGAATTGGAGTAGCAATTAGAGTAAGCTTTCTAGGAAGACCAACTTTGTGATTACATTAATCACAAAAGAGCCATTGCAAAAAGTTTGTTTCATTCTTATTAGAATTAAACATCTGTATTATATTTATAACTAAGAATTAATGTCTAAATATATTATATTCTTGTGCTGTGTCTTTTTGTTCATAAGTCTGAGATCGGGAACTATCAATGATTTATCTTTGTAGTCCACTGGTTGGCTGGTTTCTTGTTAATAGGCTGACTTCTCTCCCTCTTGGAAACAAAAATCTAATGTTATTAAATGCATTTTCCATGATTCCATATTTAAATTGTATATAGATCTCATGGAATGTTTTGCCCATCTTAAGAAGCTGATACAGTAATGAAAGATATTTAAATGGCAAATCATAGTCAGAATTGGTTCAAGCCATTAGGGAGCCTGGGTGAAAACTATTTTCCCCCTCCCCGTTTTATGTACAAAGAGCTAAACAGGCATGTACTGAAATAAAATATGGGGATAGGATGGGGTCTCACCTGCTGCATCTCAGATGCAGAACAAATCAGAGGAATAAAGCAGGTATTGTGGAATAGGTAGATCTATTGTTCAGTTTTTGATTTTTCCTCCTCTTAGGGCTGGGCATGCCATGACTTCGTGGCAGAAAACTAGCTTTGGTTGTATTCAGTCCTAGGATACAATCTTTAGACTTTTTAATTAAAAAGAACTTGGTGTATATATATATATTCATTTTACTCACTAACTGTAGGGTGGAGATGGCTGAATATGTTTCCAGCCTGAGTGTCTGTTTTGATACTTAAAGGGTTGTAATTTTCCTAGTTGAACATAAAACATATGCTTGAACGGGATCAGGGAATCATTGCTTTCAGCTTTTCAAGAATGAATATGTGAGTGATATATTCCAAACATGAAAATCATTGCCTTTGTGGTTTGTTTGCTTGCTTGTTTGTTTGTTTGTAGACTGCCTTTATTATTTTTATAAATAATTCAAGGGGGGAAACCCACACAGTATTCTTTCCTCCTTCTATTTTGCCAAAGCAACCATCTTGTGAGGTGAGTTGGGCTCAGGGAGAGTGACTGGCCCAAAGTCACCTAGCTTTCGTGGCTAAGATGGGATTTGAACTCAGGGTCTTCCAATTCCTGACCTAGTATCTTAACCATTAGACCAGCTGCAAATGTGCTATAATTTTAGGTTTTAGGACACAAGAATTCAGTGTTAAATGAACCAGTAGTTGTGATTGGGAAATTAGATTGGGATAGCGAGACCAGATTTTCAAGATATTATCCTTAAAAAAATGTTTTGTAAGTCTTTGTACCCATGGTTTGATAATAGATATTGAACTTACAGTTACCGATTTGTTAAATATCTGCAATTTTTTTTGTTTGTTGAAGCGTTTTCAGTGTGATTTGTTTTAATCTGTGATGTTAGTGCATTCAAGCACTTTGATACCAAACCCGGAAAATGAGATAGACTTTGCAAAATAAAACGAAACTCTTTGGTCTTTGCTTCAGTGATGGAACGGAATGAATGTCAAAGAGCCTCAAGTTCCGAATCTGAGGGAAGCAGCCTGCTGGACTTGCCTGAGGACATAACTCCAGAAAGCTTTCTATTGAAGCCGAACCCTGGGGAAGATAAAGCATTTGATTTAACGCTACCAGCAGTTGATGCAGGTAAAAGCTTGTTGCTATTCTTGCAACTCACTTAAAGGTGACCCAGGCAAAAGAAGCGGCTTGTGCCTACAAGTCTAGGGGAAAAAATTCCAATTAAAAGTAGGAACTCGTGGGCATATGTCGCTATCCGCCTCATTAAGCATTGATCTCACAGTACTTTTTAGTTCAGGCTTCAGTTTAGCAGCATTGTCCAGAATGATGTTGTCTTTCACAAACTCCCACGCTGGCTTGAGAGCAGCCTCGTTGTCGCTGTCTTTCAGCAGGCTGTTTTTACCTGTGTAATTCTATCATTTCAGTATTTCTCAGAAGGGGCTGTTTTGTCTGTGTGCTCTGGGTAACTAATATTACTTGCAGTTTAAAAATGAGTTTTAGAACATAATAACATTTGGAAATAAGCGGAAGCATAACACAAACAAATGACCATATGCTCTCTCAACTATTGGCTTGCTAAAAACAATCGTGCTTTTTTGAAGTGCGGGGGGAAGTAGAATATTGATACTGGTTGGGTTCCCACATCACATAACACATTAAAAAAAAAAAGGAAGATTTCAACAGCTTGCTGTATAAAAAGGGGAAATGTGCTTGATTCCGCAATACTCAGGCATATTAGTCTCTGTCCTTGTTCACATCTGTCAATTCCTTTTTTTAAAAGGAAAGTTGAACAACAGCAATCTGTTGTCAACACTTCTGAATAAACAAAATCTAGAGCCAACAATGGCTGGGTTCACACAGCACACAAAAGCAAAGGCATATTTTTTCCGTGACTTAATATATCGTGTAAACCCAGCTGCGGTAGTTTGTAAATCAAGGGGCTATGTTTCAGAGTATTCATTATTTGTGATTTATTCACTAAACTTTGGCTAAATAAACAAGACCTTAGTCAACCTATAGTCGCCTTTCTCCAATCTGTTGGCCTTTTGGAATGGTGGAGTTAATGTCCAACACACCGTCCAAAATGAAAGAAAAGTGAGACGACAATAGTATATTGGTGGGGCAGATTTTAAAGTCGCATTGCATCGCATTGCATCATGCAGTGTTAGTTTACAATTTTAAAAAAGTGTCCTGTCAAAATTGTTTGTCGACTTCATGTTTATCTAGGCAGAGTAAATGACATAATTGCCTTCTGTCTCTTAAACTCCTAATATAGGGTTTGTGGGTTGGGTTTATTACTGTGTATTAGACCTCAATAAGTCGTAAGTTAAGATTATTATGGTAGGTTTTGTATAAAACCAACATAGCCTCATAACTTTCTTCAAAATTGTTCTAGAGGTTAAACGTATGGTATCAAAAGAAAATTGTTTTCTTTCCCTGTGCTCCATTGTTGACTCTTATAAATGATTCAGGCCTCTCTTGCCCCGGGAGTACAGAATTCTACACTTTCTTTATATGCGATTTTTATGTTATGAATTGCTGTATCCGGTGACATCATATTGTTAATATGATTTCATGTATTATGTAATTCCTTCACAAAGTGTTTTCTTCATAGGAGTTAAGATGCTGCACCTTGTATCTTGCGCTATTTAACATTAATAATCCTGTTTCCCTTCTTTAATTTGTATAATGTCTTTAAATCTTCCTATTGAACAGGTTTTTCCTGAAGCCGAGTTAGTTCTGAAATGTTATTCGTAAGAAGAAATTTGTGACATTACTGCTCAGATCTCCAGTTGCAGATTATGCATTCTAAATTCTGATTCCTTGCTCCACCATTAGGAACTAACAGAACATAATAACAGAGTTGGAAAGGACCTTAGAGATCTTCTAGTCCAACCCCCTGCTCAAGCAGGAGACCCTATATAATTCCAGACAAGTGTCCGTCCAATCTCTTCTTAAAAGCCTCCAGGGATGGAGCATCTACAACAGGGGTGTCAAACTCATATCGTCACGTGACGTATCGTGACTTTCCCCCCTCCTTTGCTAAACCAGGCATGGGCATGGCCAGCGTGTGACGCATCTCGGCCACAAGTTTGATAGCCCTGATTTACAACTTCTGAAGCTGTTTGGTTGATTAATTATTCCCACTGTTAGAAAATTTCTCCTTAACTCTTAGGTTGCTTCTATCTTTGCTTAGTTAAGAGGGAAGTTAGAGTATTGTCTCTACCAGCTCTTCTATTACAGCTTTAACTGGCGTTAAAAGAATATGTTTGTCTATATTTGTTTCCATAGTTCTCTTGGAAAAGAAATAATTGGTGGATTACAGCAAATGATTGCATTGCTTATTATTAGTGCTTTCTTTTCTATTATAAATGTGCAAACATCTAATAATTTTGTCTAAACATGCCAGAAATGCTTTATTTTCTGGCAAAAAAAATTACTGCGGCAGAGTTCCAGAGGAAGAAATAGTGGACTAAAAATCACTCTGCAAAAAGAAAAGCTGACAACCATGGAAAAGAGCTAGTGACTGGCTCTTCATGTCAGCTCTCCCAGATAAATCAGACATGAAACGTGACTAGGATTAATTTTATTATATTATAAGCTACATTAACAGATTCTTGTAAGTCTGAAAGTGCAGGTGGCCTTTTAATGTTTGAACCATTCGTACATGTAATTCCTAAGTTTCTTTCCCTGACCTTTAAGCCATTGGTTGCTTCTGCCTGTTGTCTGATTCTTTCTCGGCAGCAACTTTTCCTCTCATTCCCCAAGGTCATCCATAAATTCCATTACACTTCAGACTCTCTCTGGACAGGGAGGGGATGGAAGATTGCCTGTATGCATGCCAAAGAGTTATTGCTCCCATGGAGACAACAAGACAGCAATTTCCGATAGGTTTTGAGCATTGGAGACCATGGGAATAGGCATCTTGCTCACAACCACAGTCAACATCTTTTAAAGGATGCTATGTTCACAAACTTCATTTTTTTAATCGTGTTCAGAAATTTCTCATTTTGAAAACATCGTGAGTTTTCCTTCAATCCTTCATGAAAAAGCAATTAATCATAACTTTAACAGTTTAAAAAATGAAATGGTAGATAAGGTAAATAAGACTTTGATCCTAGTAAGTTATAAACAGTTTAAGCATTTGGAATAGGATTTTAGAATTAATTATGAAGAAACCTTCCTGTGGGAAATAGATTCATTTGGACTTTAGTATGGCAAAATAAAAATCAGAATTTAAAAAGTTGGACACTAGATGGAACTAAAGATTTTAGTTAAAGGAGAAACTATTCAAGCCTGATTAACAGTTTCGGTAATCTGCTGGGGCGTATGAAATGACACAAAATATTATAACACTGAAAATACTGAAGGACACTTTTGAAAAACAGAATCAAAAACGGGTATCAATAATGTCAGTAACAGTGTTTTTCTTGGTTTTTTGAAAAACAGAATCAGAACATCAGTAAATAATGTTTTCTTGGTCATCTTCCATATGGACTATTGCAATACACTCTACATGGGCGATCTTTGAGAATATCCACAAGCTGCAACTGGTGTAGCATGCGGCAACACAAGCAATTTTAAGCACCCTTAGAGTTGTGCATGTAACACCTCTGCTACATGAGCAGCATTGGAAGCCAGTTTGCTTCTGGGTCCAATTCAAGGTGTTTATAATCATCTTTAAAGCCGTTGATGCATGGGACCAGGTTATTTGAGGGAACTGTCTTCTCCTAATCACAACATCCTGTCTAACACAGGCAGGAGAGATATGTTGCATGCGTTGAAGAATTTTGACTGATGGGATCTAGGAAGAGAACCTTCTCTGTTGTTTCCCATGCTACCTGGAACATCTTACCCCTAGAAATGAGGTGGGCTCCCAGTCTTCTGGCCTTCAAAATGATGTTCTGTCAATTTTCATTGGGGTCAGGGAGTGCTATGCATACCTGAGTTGGTTGGCATTGAAGGCGTTTTCTCTACCTTTTAAATTTTTTAACTCTTTAATTTTTAAAATTCTGCTTTTAACTTTATTGTTATTTATATTTCTAAAGTATGGGATGTTTGTAGTATTGTAAACCTCCCAGAATAGTTTAGGTGAGGTACGCAGGACATGTGATGAGTGAATAAATATTATTTTCTTCTTCTTCATCACATTCTTACTTTTCTTCTATTTTCTATGTTTTTTCTTCTCTGTATATTCCACATTTTCTTTTAGTTTGTTTTAGATTTTACTATTGTAATAATTTTTTTAATAAAAATTATAAACATAAAAAATAAATTTATCATGGCAAGGCAGTTAGTCCTCAGGTAAGGGCAGTTTGTAACACCTTGAAATAATTCAGAAAAATTACTTCAGAGCATATGGGGTGCTATGAGATCCTGCTTCTGTAACATGGTCTGAAGCACCTTTAGACAGCTTCATGATGCATTGGGACCAACATTATCCTCTCTGTCCTCTTATTGGCTGGGTTTGGGCATTCACATAACCTCCATCAGCCTTGCCAAGTAGATCACACATGACCAGATAAATTGATGCACAGCCAGATAAGCTAATTTTACTTTATTGTAAAGCTGCATTAACAGAACCCTACAATTCTGAAAGGGCAATTCTCCTATTGTCTCCTTTACAGCCCAAGAAACTAGGGAGAGTCTCTACTGAGCCTCTTATCCAGTGGTGGGATCCTACTGGTTTAACAACTGGTTTGGTGATTGCGTGCTTTGCATGTGTGCACAGTTTGGAGAAAATTTACCTTCAGCATTACTGCTGGGGAGGAAAACAGCTGAGGTGCAACAATCTGCTTTGCTGCGCGACTCAGCTGAGAAGATATAGGTAAGTAAAACGCAGGGGCGGGCGGGCCCACTTGATCGTCAGAGCAAACCGGTTCACTCCCAGCTGATTGTTGGAGCTACCAGTTCTCCCGAACCAGTCCCGTAGAATCTCACCTCTGCTTTTGTCCCATCCACTGTTTAGCTGTGGGCTACGCTCACTCTTATTTGACTGTTTCCTAGACAACATCTTTTTTCATCCCATCTTCCAATGTCTTTTCCCACATATCTTTACATCCGTACCTCCTACCCACCTTGCCAAGCCCAAATAAGAACATCCTGTGAAGAGGGCCACCGACTCTCAG